GAACTGGGAGCCTATTGGGGCACAGCTGCCCTGTGGTAATTTTCACTGAGAAAGAGCTCCCCTGACAGTTGCTGTCATTCATTTGCCTTACCATGGATCCAGCATAAAGGGTGTGGAGGGAAAAGTTTAGTAAGTCTGACTCTCCTGCAACATAATTAGGGCAACCCCCAAAAAAGACTGGACTCCTTAGGAAATTATAGTAATTAACATTTGCTTACTAAATAGACAGCAATTACCAAATATCAGCCAGACAGGGTGGAAAATGGCCTCATGAACCTGGATTCTTTTCCCAGTTCTATACCACTAAGAGCTCTATAGCAGCTAAGCTCTATACCACCGCATCTCATGGACACAACAGTAAATGCAAGAGTTGAACTAAAGAAATGATCCATTTCTGTTTTAACACGTTCTGCTTTGTCTGAAACCAAAACTTACTTGTGCAACTCCCAGAGAAACCCAATTTCCTCCCTTGCCATTGATAGTATATGGTAAAATCTGGCCATTGGATGAGTCTAGAGACTGTCATACAGAGTGAAGTAAGTCAGAAAGAGAAAAACAAATATCATATATTAACGCATATATGTGGAATCTAGAAAAATGGTACAGATGAACCAGTTTGCAGGGCAGAAATTGAGATGCAGATGTAGAGAACAAATGTATGGACACCAAGGGGGGAAAGGGGCGGGGGGTGGGGGTGTAATGAATTGGGAGATTGGGATTGACATGAATACACTGATGTGTATAAAATAGATAACTAATAAGGACCTGCTGTATAAAAAAATAAATTAAATAAAATTCAGAAAAAAAAAAGAAAACAAAATCTGGCCATCATTCATTAAGCAAGCTCTCTGGACTGTACTAAGTTCTTTACAAACATTCTATTATTGAATCTTCTGTATCATTCTGTGTTCTTAGTTGCAAACAGCAGAATCCACTCTACCTAGTTTAATTAGAGAAGCAGCTCATAGACTTTCTGGGAGGGCCAGAGATCAAGCTCAGAGGCTGTGCTAACAGAAACAATGCCCAATACCTGGCCGGGGACCTGTTCTAGCAAGGCTGTGAGACAGGAAGCTCATGCTGACGATGCTGACATTGGAGACCAAAGCACGGCAGCTTCTGCTCCAGCCTTGTCTGACACCTCAGGCAACACCCCTTATTAAAGGACTGGATTCTGCAGAGTCCCTGCTTCCTCACAGGGCTCACTTCCAAATCAAAGTCACACATGGGGTCTTCTGATCGGCACAGCCTAGAGCACATGCCAGTGCCCCTGCTACAAGGGGAGCTGGGAAAGTGAATTCTGAATTCCCCCTCAGGAAGGGGGAATCATAATGTGAAAATATCTTCACATATAGGAAGTGTTCCAAGGATGCTGGGTGGCTACAAGCATGACAAATAAAACGGTCCACATTTTACAGATAGAAAAAGTGAAGGTTAAACTCAGAAGGGCTGTAACTTAGCCAGTTAGACTGCTAGTAAGTAATTTAATGAGATTTAAGCCCGTATCTATTGAAATGCAGAGACCAGGCTCTCAGCACTCTGCTACACTGGGTATTTTATGGTAATTAAGCTTTCCTAGTAAGAAGCAAAAGAAAAAACTTCTAACTGCCAAATGAAAGTTTGTTTGTCAACTTTTTCTCTTTTACCACCACCCCTCTCCACTCCCTTCTTCACCAAATAAAAAGATGTGTTCCTATATTCTATTTGTGCATTCAGTATCAGCGCCCTTGCTTGCAAACAAAAGAAACAAAGAATGGTTAGTTTAAGGAGAAAAGGAATTTGTTGAAAGTATTTTAAGCCCCTCAAGAATTACAAAATGCTTAGGGAACCACACTCAAATGTGCAGGTGATTGAAGCCACGGCCAAGGCCACGCCACAGGTACAGCCCGGTTAGGACACTGCCACCAGCACCACTGCCAATGGACATAGCTCATGGCCACTGGTGGAATCAATACTGGCAGCATAAACTCAACTGTTCTTGTCTTTTTGCATCACTTGATTTTGATTCACAACCAAGCACTGATCTGTCAAGTCTGAGACAAGGAGAGCAAGTATTTGGGTTTTAGTAGAGGGAGGCTGGGCCCTACCTCTACCAGTACTCTTGCAGGAGGGTCCCCAATCTAGGAAGGTGGCTCAGGTGCTGTCATTGTCAGCAAAGAATCAGAACTGAGGCAAATCAATCCTGATGTCCTGATCTCAGAGACTCGGCTCTGCCTGGGTGTAGATACCTGTCATAGTTACACAAGTCACTTGCTTACTGACCTATTCCCCAGTCTGTGAGCAATGAAAACATGGATGTGAGGGCTTGCTCATGCTTGGGAGATGTGCACAGGCTGCCGCGCTTCAAGGTGAAGAGTGCTCGGCCTCGTCCACGAAGGAGATGGGGAAGGTCTAGTCCTTGGATCAGAAGGATAAAGAAGGAAGCTGTAGCAAGACCTGAGCGCAAGCCAAGACGAAGAGGAGGAGTGCAGAGAACTCCATCAAGCACAACTCAAGGCCTTTGATCACCACAAGGCCATCACGTAGGGCCCAAGGGCAATCTTGAGGCTCTGAAGCACCACCAGAGGTCATGTGTCCTTAAGCAGTGGAAATGTCGGGAGACAGCCCAGTCTCTAATTAACCATACATCATTAATACTAAGAATACCTAACACTCAACATGTGTCAGACACTCTACTAAGTGCTTTATAAAGATTATCCCATTTCATGCTCACAAGATCCCTTTAAGGTAAGTCATATTATTATAACTATCTTAAAAATGAGCCAAAACTCAGAAGTTTCTAGACAGAACAGCTAGCGGGACAGAGTCTGAGACTCCACAAATGTTTGATGTCACAAAGCAGAGGAAACCATGGAGCCATGGCTAAATGGGACGAGTTTGAACTAATCTGTGCCATCTGCCAAAATGATTTAAAGTAAGCGGTCATTATCAACTCTGACCATGACTCTGTCCCACCCGCCTTGTTCTCCGGGGCAAAAGCAGTCCAAATCCAAGGTGTGAGTGCCTTGCATGCTGGGTGGTAAGCTGGAAGCAATACCTCCTCATGGAGCTGAAGAGGCTGCAATGAAAGCAGGGTAACTGAAGAACCAAGAATCTTCTTTCCTCCCAAAAGCAACCACTGACCTGTCACTCCAACTAAGCCTGGTCGAGAGAAGAAGGCTGTGGCCCAGTTATGCCAACTCCTCCAGGAGATCCAAGGAGTCCAGCACAGATACTTCAAATTTAAATAACAGAGAGAGAAAGATATTCAGATGTTCCAAATACAATGTCACTGCAGAGCATAATAATAATAACATCTGAATGAAATAATGCCATTTGCAGCAACATGAATGGACCTAGAGATGATCATACTAAGTGAAGTAAGTCAGAGAGAGAAAGACATATATCATATGATATCACTTATATGTAGGATTTAAAATATGACAGAAATGAACTTGTCTACAAAACAGAAACAGACACACAGAGAGAACAGACTTGTGGTTGCCAAGGAGGAGGTGGGGTGGGAGAAGGATGATGGATTGGGAGTTTGGGATTAGTAGATGCAAACTATTACATATAGGATGGATAAACAACAAGGTCCTACTTTATAGCACAGGGAATTATATCCTGTGATAAACCATAATGGAAAAGAATATGAAAAGGAATGTATATATAACTGAATCACTTTGCTGTACAGTAGAGATTAACACAACATTGTAAATCAACTATACATCAATAGGGGACTCCCCTGGTGGTCCAGTGGTTAAGACTCTGTGCTTCCAAATGCAAGGGGCACAGGTTCAATCCCCGGTCAGGGAACTAAGATCCCACATGCCACACGGTGCAGCCAAAAAAAAAAAAACCAAAAAAACCCAAACTACACATCAATACATTTTAAAATAATAATAAAATATTAATATCTACAAATAATAATAATAATAACCTTTGGCTTATGGAACCTCTGCTCAGCCAGCTCAAGTACGCTGTTCTTTGTCTCTGTGGATGGGAATCTGTGCCTTAATTTCTTCCTTTTCTCACAGTCTTTCCAATCTCCATGCTTATGACCTAATTTTTTGGTGGTAGATTACTAACTTGTCTTTTTTCCTCAACTATATATCCTTAAAGTTTTACATCAGTCAGAGAAAGCATATTGCCCACCTTAGGTGCTACATAAATATTTGTTTTATAAATTGAAAAAAAAAACTGAGAAAACTGAGGCTCAGAGATGTTGTTTAACTTGCTCATGGTCACACAGTAAGTGGCAGAATAGGGATTTGAACCTTAGCAGTCTGATTTCAGGGACCTGGATCAGAACTTTTCCCTTTTCTTTACGGATCAGCAACAGGAAGCCCAATTAAGAGGCCGCTGCCATGCTCCACACAGCCACTTAGTTTGCACCTCCCCACCCCCGCACTGAGTATTAAAAGGTAGTGTACAAGGCAGGCATGATGCCTGGTAGAGGTAGCAGCTCAGAACCAAATTTCACATATGCTGCTAGACTGATTCACTGCATGGCCTGCCTCCTCCTGCAGGTGTTGACATCAGCGGGCCCTGCTCCGCTACACAAATTATTTACTCTCACTATCCATCTGTTGCTTCTCTATAAAACAAGAGGGTTGGACTAGATGGTCTATCTCAGAGGTCCTTTCAATTCTAAAATGTTATGAATCTAGAGTTTTCCAGATGCTGGGCTATCCTCTTGGGTCTTGGAGCCAGAGGTTCTGGCAAGGTGACTTACACAATCCTCAGCTGTGTAGTCCCAAAAGGCCATGACCATGACCTTGTTCTCTCTGTGTCCAGCCACTGACACCCACAGAGCACACCCCTTCAAATCCAAGCCAATATTAAGGCACAAGGACAAAAAGTTGAGTTCTGTTAAATAAACAGATTTCTACTTCTTCAAGGATTAAGTAAAAAAAACCCTAAAAAGGTTAGGGGAGAACCACGTTCCAAAGCATACAAGGAAGGATTAATCTAAGTAAGCTTAGGTCACCTTTGATGCTGATGTGAGTTTTCTGACTCAGGGAGAAGCAAAGATGCTGAAAGATGGAAAGGTCTTCAGAGTGGTCCAAGAGAACTGCTGGGACCCAGAAGTTCGCCTTAGAGAAATGGACCAAACAGGTACTTCCAATGAGAAACACTACCAATGTTTGCATCTGATGTAAGAGGCATGTCTACCGCTAAAGTCTGTTGACCACTTTAGGTGATTCATGTGATGGTAACTTCTGATCTCCTTTTTTCCTCCAAGCCAGGCTGTTCCAGCTTCACTGGGGGAGGGATGGCACCTTCCACAATGATGTTTTTAGAGTGTGTATTTAAAATTTTTTGAAATTAGGTATACCGTTTTAAAGTAGAATGCTGTATTATCCAAAAGATAAAAGTGGTATTTTATTATTTAAAAAAATTTTAAGTTCAATTGCATAGTATTTACTTATTATAGAGCCAATTAAAACAGTAAGAATAAGAGTTCACAGATTAAGGATGCCAAGTGCCTGGTTAGCCAGATTCAGGATCCGATTTCTTTCTGTAGTTTCTTTTGGTGCACAGTACATAGAATGTCCCCACTGACACATAAGGGGTGGAAACGGGAGCAGTTTACAAAAAAGTTAATCATGTAATCTCAGAATACTCTACAATGAAACCAAGCCAGAAATTTGAAAGGGGAGAATTAGGAAATTTTTGTTTCCAAGCTGAGTCACTAACCATTTCTAAGAACTGCTTGCATTCCTCATCCCATATTTTAAAACCAAATAAATCCCCATAATTTAAAAGAATTATGAAAGCCTATCTAAAATATGGTATGATGGGTAGGGGATAAGATAAAATAAAATAAAATAAAACATAATAAAATAGTAAAATAAAAATGTGGCATGACAGACGCATTGTACTTTCACTTGTTATTACCTGGTTGACCGTGCCACCAAGGAGAGCGTGCTCCAACAAAAGAACCCAGCCTTCTGAACACGCGTGGGATCTGCCCAGAGGCTGTGATGGGGAACTCCCCATGACAACACTGTCAGGCCTAAATTTTGACATCAGTGGTCTAGATTTAACCCAGAAAACAAACAATTCATACACACAAATTAAAGAGCCCTTTAGAACTACCACCTTCCTAACCAAGGACAAATGTATAAGAAGTTCAAAAATACACACAGAGATGGCAGGAGACATTTTATTCCAAGGTCTGCATAAAACAAGTTCATAGATATCAGCCCCAAATGAGGTGGTCTCTGGCGTGTTAGAATTTGGTATAGCTACTTTAGGCTAGATATTGCTTTATAGATTTTTTTAAATAATTAAAAGTATATCTAAATTGCATTCAAATTGAACTTTACGGAAAGCCTGAAGCACTTCTGTAGACCATTCCATAGCACATAGTATATATGCCCCTGTACTAGAATGGGGGTGGTAGGGGCACTGAGAGAGAACAACTTTTCAGACTGACAGCAAAGACAGCAAAGGTCTTACTCTAAATGTGAAGCACAAGCAGCTCCCACCTCTCAAGGAGAAAACTAGTGGAAAGGAGATTCAGATGACTGGTGTCAGAACCATTGCTCATGACTGCAGTTTAGGTGAAGAGTGTCTCCTTTGGTTTTTGTTGTTTGTTTCATTCCACAGCTATCCTTAAGAGGACAGTCAAGTCTAACCCTTGCTGAGCATTTTTCTTTGTGCCAGGTACTGTTCTCAGCACCTGACATGTATTAACTCAATTCCTATAACAACCGTCGTAGGTGGCGTCTATTATTATGCCCATTTTACAGATGAAGAAGCTGAGGAACAGAGGTTAAGCAATTTGTCCAAGATCGCACAACTTGTAGGGGGGAAAGCCGAGATTTGAACCCAGGCAGTCTGGATCCAAGTGCTTAACAGGTGTATCCTACTGCCTCTGCCGAGGTAAAAGAATGATGAAGGCACAGCACAGAAGGTTCCAGCAAGCCATGCCATCTTCACAGGGAGAAATATGTAATTGCAGTCCCTGGTTTACTTCATCACATCTCTATGTGGCAGGCATTGTTGTACCTAGTGCCACCTGAGGGGTATTAGGAGGTGAAGTGATTTGCTCGGGATTACATAGCAGTAAATGGCAGAGCTAGAATTATACCTAGGACTGTCTCTCTCATTCCATCACTTTTCCCAAGGGAGCTTTTCCCAAGCCTCCCTCAGGATGAGACCTGCCTGGGGTGTTTATTAAAACCTTTTTTCAGGGCCCATCCATTGAGTCACAGTTTCCAAAGGAGGGCCTAGGAATTTGTTTTTACAAGGTTCTCTTCCCTCCACCCCCTGGCCCCTATAGCCATTTTACTCAGCAGGTGAGTCTGGGGAACACTGTGCTATTGCCAAAGTGTTAAACACCACTTTAAAAACAATCAGCTCTCATTGGGTTAGACTTGTTTTTTTCCCCTCTTGATTCCCAGAAACCAAAGAACATGTGTCCAAATCAACCAACACATAAATAATGCAATTTACTATGTTAATATAAAATATGGTGACAAGTGATGGCCACTGGGGTATACAGAAGGTGCAAGGCTGGACAGCAGCCTCATCCCACCACTTGCAGGCCATGTGATCTAATCTATAAAATGAAATACAGTAATGTAAGAAAAAGCATTTGTGTAAATGTAAAGATTTTACAATTGAACGGCATTTATCTGTTGTATACTAATCACTGAATACAAATCATATCTGTGACAATGTTTAACAATTCTCTCTAATCAAATGCTGTAGTGTCTAGTCCTCACTAAACAATGATTTATTTATTCATATTTTGGGTATGTTAAGGATAGAACATGGACAGACAGGTGCATGTGGTGTTGAAATCCAAGTAGGGCACGGCACAGGATAAACAACCACAGTCATGACAGACTGTAATAAGTTATCAGAAAAGGAAAGGAACAGAACAATGGGATAGAGAGTGGATGGAGTTGGGGAAGGCCTCTCTGAGGATCTGACATTTGAACGGAGACCTTAGGGTAAAAAGGAGCTCGTCCTGTGATGAGCCATAAGGAGGGCATTCCAGGCAGATGGAACAGCAGTGCAAGGGTCCTGGCGCAGGAAAGCACTCCAAAGAACAGGCAGGAGGTCTATGAAGCTCAACGTGAGCCCCCAGGAGAGATGGAGCCTTATAGACCGTGTTCAAGTTTGGAGTTTACTCTGAATGTGATGAAAAGTGCTTGGAAGTTTTGAGCAAGGGAGTGAGTTGATCTAAGTTTTAACCCTTACCCTGGCTTCCAAGTGTAGAACAAACTGTAAGAGGACAAGAGTGGTAGTCGGAGACCAGCTCAGAAGCTTCTGCAGTGGTCCACATAGGAAATACTGGTGGCTTGGACCAGGCAGTGGCAGGAGATGGGGAGAGGTGAGCACATGAAAGGAACTGGAGTAGAGCTAACAGGACTTGCTACTGGGTTGGACGTGGGCATGAGGGAAAGAGGAGCCACCACTGCTTTGGCAGCATCTCTCCTGATAACCCAGCTCCAGAAGTATGAAGATAAGAGATTCTAGGCAATCTGGATGCTGGATTCTGGAACCACACTCAGGGTCTCATTCTGGGCATTCCAGACAGTGGGACTCTACCCATGCTCACTTAGGAGATGAATTAAAGGGGCCAGGAAGGTGCCTAAGAAATATAGTCTGTCATGCATGACCTAAGATGAAAAGCCCTAAAAAAATTGATTGGGAAATGTCTTGCTTAAATAAAACTTCACAGGAAGGAGGGTTGGAAACAACCTTTGAAAAATTGCTTTTTAGTTTTTCTTGAATGATCTCACTTCTGTCCAGCCTATACTCCTCTCCTTAGAACTGACACCGAGGGATGAGGGAAGCCTGGGACAGAGACCCTGCGAGAAGGGGGACAGGGAGAAGCAGCGAGGGAGGGGAGAGAGGAAAGACTGTGGGACGGAGACTTGCTGGGCTCCTCAGCCCTGGGAAATGTCGGAGTGCCCGGGCCATTCTTCTCATTAGCTTTGCCTTTGTGTCTGTGTCTAGGAGTGACCGTGCAAGCCCTTTCCACGGTTCCCGTCATGTTTAGCTACTGGGTGAGTGTGAAACCTCAATCCATCTCCTTGGTGGGCGAAGGCTCACTCACGTCCAGCTCCCTAGCAAGTAGACAAATCCCTCAAGTCTCGAACATTACCCACCCAACTCTCCACCTCTTCAGAGATCAGCAGGGTCCCTCAGCTTCTCACACCACACCGTCCCCTCCCAGGCCTGTCTTCCTAGTCATGTCCTTGCTCTAGACCTGCACGGTCCAGTATGGTAGCCAATGGCTGCAGGTTGCTATCTGACTCGAATTGCATTTCCACTGGACAGCACAGTTCTAGACCCAACCTTAATCTCCATCAGAACTGACCTGTCTGCTGACTCATTCCTGCGGTGCCTAGCTCAGTAACTGACAAGCCAACTTATTCAAAAGTGATAATGATTTTGAGGCAGGGGAAGTGATGATAATGGCCTAATATGTTGCCTCTCCCATGGAAATATACAATTCAAATTCCTAGAGTTGGATGCCTTTCCCCAAGTGATTAAGTCTTGAGTGCTAAAAGTTTCAGGCATGATGGCAAGCCTGTGGAAGCACATTTTTATACATAGTTGGGGGTGCACTAAGTACCCTCTCAACCAAATAAACATTCACACGTGTTGTGATTTAATAAGCAATGGAAATACCACCTGCTCACACTTACTTCCTCCACCTGTGCTCATGATTCTAGTATTAGTGATTCAATCCTTATCTGTTCCTATCATGAGATTCACTACTTAAAATAAAATCCCCTAAGACCTCGAGATACCTGAATTTACCAGACCGGGTGCTATTCTGACTGGGCAACTGGGATTGCAGGCGAATACCAAATTCTTAGCGGTGGGGTGGGATGATGTTGAAAGATAGCAATAGTGGAGAGATTACTCTTGAGTGTCACTGCCAACAGGAAGGACACAGAGAAGGACAGACAGGAACAGGAGAGGTCCATAAGCAGCCCGGCATCCTCTGAGGAGGCGTGACAAGGAGGTGCCCTGAAATCGGGCACTCACCAGGCCCAGCTCCTGGGGTTGGGAATGGGGGTGCCTAGGTGTGCAGCCCTGCAGACTCCTGTCTGCAGTTGGTGGGGTGGCCCACCCTCATTCCATGTCTAGTGTAGGATTCCAGGCCCTTCTGATTACAGCCCCAGTTTTTCTAATTAATCAGCAATATGCTAGCAGTTTCCTTTGCCTTGGCAATGAATGGCTTCTGGGTCTCCTGTGGCCAAGGCCTAACTCAGGCTGTGCTTCAGCTTTCTGAGGGGTAAAGCCACTGAGAGTGACAAATGACTGAGCCCTGAGGAGGTATTGATCAGAGTAAATACCTAAAGAAGTAAGTTTTGAACCATGTGCTTTCCCTTACTTGTCTCCACCAGGCGAAACCTCAGGACACTTTAGAGCTGTGCCAGCTTCTAAACAATGACCTAGCTGCCACTGTTGCGAGCCACCCAAGGAGGTTTGTGGGTCTGGGGACATTGCCCATGCAGGCCCCTGAGCTGGCGGTCAAGGAGTTGGAGCGCTGTGTGAAGGAGCTGGGCTTTCCGGGGGTTCAGATTGGCTCCCACATCAACGAGTGGGACCTGAATGCCCAGGAACTCTTCCCAGTGTACGCGGTGAGTAGGTGGCGCTCACTCTCGGAGAGTGGCCGGGCGCTGTGCTCGGTGTCCCTGGGTGGGAGAGATGCCTGATGACATGCTAGATGTAGGGGGAAATGTGGAAAGAGCTCCCCCAAATAAGCGGGCCATTCTACTAGAAGAGGGACAAGTGGAAATGCTTCCCAGGCCAGTCCTAAGTTAACTCAGTGAAATCTCTCTTCTTTCTAGCCCCCTTGATCTCCGTTTAAAGTTTCATTTGGAATAAAATAGATAACCAACCAGGACCTACTGTATAGCACAGGGAACTCTGTTCAATATTCTGTAATAACCTAAATGGGAAAAGAATTTGAAAAAGAATAGATACATGTATATGCTCAACTGGATCACTTCGCCGTACACCTGAAACTAACACAACATTGTTAATCAACTGTGCTCCAATATAAACTAAAAATTAAAAAAAATTTTTTTAAATAAAGAGGTTATGTAAACTGGAAAAAAAAAAGTTTCATTTGGAAGCCAAAATACTACCCTCACCACAGCCACTGTGCAAAAGAATCAGGCTAATGACATACCCCAAAGTATTTGTCTTTGCTTTGGAAAAAAGTGCTTATCATTTTTCAAAATTATGAAATAATTTAGAAGAACCTGCGGAAAATACAAAAATGTTTAAAGAGGAAAACAGCTATACATAAAATAAATAAGCATCGAGGATTTACTGTATAGCACAAGGAATTATACCCAATATCTTGTAATAACCTGTAATGGAATAGAATCTGCAAAAAACAAACCAAATCACTATGCTGTACACCTGAAACTAACACAATATTGTAAATGAACTATACTTTAAATAAATAGGAAAACAAAAAGAACCCATAATTCTGCCACCCAAAGATGAGTAAACACTGTTAATAGTACATTTCATTTATCTTTTTTTTTTTGCTGTACGCGGGCCTCTCACTGTCGTGGCCTCTCCCGTTGCGGAGCACAGGCTCTGAATGCACAGGCTCAGCGGCCATGGCTCATGGGCCCAGCCGCTCTGCGGCATGTGGGATCTTCCCAGACCAGGGCACGAACCCATGTCCCCTGCATCGGCAGGCGGACTCTCAACCACTGCGCCACCAGGGAAGCCACATTTATCTTTTTATTTGCATACATCTGCATATTTTATATTTTAATGAAATTGGAAATACACTATACATGTGATTTTTTAATAGTGTTTTTATTTTTTTAATTTTTGCCTGCATTGGGTCTTTGATGCTGTGTGCAGGCTTTTCTCTAGTTGCAGCGAGCAGGGGCTACTCCTCGTTGTGGTGCGTGGGCTTTTCATTGTGGTGGCTTCTCTTGTTGCGGAGCATGGGCTCTAGGCACGCAGGCTTCAGTAGTTGTGGCACATGGGCTCAGTAGTTGTGGCTCGCGGGCTCTAGAGCGCAGGCTCAGTAGTTGTGGTGCACGGGCTTAGCTGCTCTGCGGCATGTGGGATCTTCCCGGACCAGGGCTCAAACCTGTGTCCCCTGCATTGGCAGGCAGATTCTTAACCACTGTGCCACCAGGGAAGCCCCTAAACAAGCGATTTTGTATCCTAATTGAGAATTTCCAACCTAAGTGAAAATTCTCTCAATGCATGATTTTAAAATAACTGCATAATATTCCAATATATGGATATGTTTTATTTAACCAACCCGCAATTAAGATACTTTTTAAGCCATATATTTTTTAAATGTAGTATAATAAAAAAATGCAACAAAAATAATACCATCAAAATGTTAACATTTGATGAAACTAGATGGTAAATATATGGGTGTTCATTTTAGTTGTTTATAACTTTCTATATTTGAAATATTGCATAATGAGATACATTTTCAAAAACACAGTGCCATCCATTTCTGAAATATCCAACAGAAGTGTCCACAGTCCCATGGTCCTCTCTACCTTCTGTTCTTTCTGTACATAAATCTGCTTTCCTTAATTCCAGGATTCAAGATGCATAATTCTTTACTCAATTGCATTTTTTAAAAATTTCTTACTTGCCTCCTAGAATTATGATAGTATCATTTTCTGTTATTTTCACTGTAAATGCAAAATCTTCAATAATGAATTAAGTAGATGTTGGTAGACTCATCAGGAAATATAATCACTGATCATTTATTCATTTAATATTTATTGAGCTCTGGCTACATGCAGAATGCATTCCATGCTTGTATCTGTGGACACTGCCCACCAGTTGGGGGACTGCCTGTTAAATTGCCTCCTAATGACCTGAAAGATTTAGTTAATGTTCCCCTAAATATCAAACTCCCAGAAGATTATTGGCTGCAGTGGCTGAACTAATCCAGTGAATGTTTTCTAGAAACTTTAATGAGCTCTGAAAGAGGATGTATTTACTTGTGCATCCAAATTGTTTCAGCACAGTATGAGCAAGCCTTCAGCTGTAGGTCATTTTAGGATTCACTGGAATCGGCTTTATGAATTACTAAGGGGCTCAGAACGCAATAGCAGCCCATTGGGGTCCAAATGGATATTTTCATTTATGTGACCAGCTCAATCAATCATTCTAACTAGGCTGTTTTGGGGGCTACCAGTCTCTGTGGGGATTCAAAAGAGCATCCTGGCCCCATCTGACTTGTGATGTCCTGGGGTTGATAGCACATTTGTTTGGTTAGCAAGACTTGCCAGCCTTAACACTATCTAACTTGGGTCAGTAATGTGCTGAAACAAATGAGAGGAGTTTCTGTGAGCCAAGTTGGCTTCGTCATCTCGAGGGCAGCCTGAGCTCCAGAGCACCCAACTGTCCCCCTTATCTCCTAGACCTCCCTTCTTAGTGAGCAAACCCAACAGCACACGCTCAGGTCAGTTTTCAGGTACAAAAATGATTTTGTGGTGAGTATGAAGCAAACAGAGTGGTAGTGGCAGACTGCCTATCATTTATCAGCCAGAAGACCTGAGTAAATTACTTAGCCTCTATCTGCCTTAGTTTCCTTCTCTTTAAAATGGGAGTAATAAAAGTACTAATCTCATAAAGGATTAAACTAGTTAACAATTGTAAAATTGCTATATATATTAAAAATATAAATTAAATATATAAAATTAGATATTATATATAATATGTAAACATATAATAATACATATGTTATATAAAATGGGAGTAATGAAAGTGTTCATCTCATAAAGGATTAAACTAGTTAATCGTGAAACTGCTATGTATAAAATAAATATAATATACAAAAATATATATGAGTATATATAATATATATAAAATGCATAGTAGTATATAGGATATATATTATATATAAAATATACATATATGCATATATATATAAACAGCTTTGGCACATGGTAAGTGCTCACTAAATTTAAACTATCATGATTTTGAGGGTATAAGTGGCTTCTTTTTATATTCTCTACAATGTCTCACATGCAGAAGGTGATCAGAAATATTTGTTAATTTGAATTGAATAGAAATGAACCATCACACGTACACAGAATAAAGCTTTATCCTTATGAGGAGTGAAATCCCACCAAGATACCAAGATCACATGCCTTTGTCAAGCCCAAACCATCCCAAGAAGTTGATACTCTTTCCAGCCTGCATCCGTTATTAGAAACCAATCAGCTCCTCTCCCTTCAAAAGATTTCTAGCTCTTCCGCTCCCCAGAACCTGTTGAATTAGGAGGGCTTTCTTCAATCTGCCCGTTGCCTGCCACTTCCAGAATCCCCTATTGTCCCGGGATTATTTCTCCATTTTGAAAAGGCTTACGTACACAAGTCACATTGCATCAGCCTGGTTAGCCCAAATGTTTATATGTAGAGGTAGGATGATTCACCCCAGCACCCCAATATATTTGGAAAAGAAATGGTCCAAGGAAAATCTGTTTTGAACCTTGACAAGCAACTAATATTAAAAGCCTGTTGTGAGGACTTTTTCTAATTAAACATCGTGTCAAATAAAGGTCATTTCCTCCAGATGGTATTTCTATTTCCCAGAAGGTCCTGGAGCAGATTTGCTCATGACATTCTTTTCAGTACCTGCCTGGCTGAGGCACTGAGAGCTCTTTCCTTTCTAAAGTCACCTCATACACAGCGGACTCTTCAGGCGCTCAGCTGTGGTCCTGAGGCTTTGTGAGTGCCTGTAGATCTCAGAAATTCCCACCCAGTGTCAGGCTCGGAGTGGCCAGATGGCATAGGTCAGGCCAGTTATGAGCCCCTGGCTCCCAACCCATCACTTCCTCACTTTCCACATCGTTGGGTTTCCAAGAGAGGGAGAGGAGGGAACACTCCACCCCTGACTCCAACACTACAATCTAAGCAGTCCTTCCGAAAGAGGGGACCAAACAGGAACCAGCAAGGGAAATTTCCTCACATTTGAGGTGTGAGATCAGTCCTTGAGTGTTTTGCTCTCAGCCAAAGTGTTTCAAGGGTAGATGTTTCATCAACCTCAATGGTAAATCCACCAACACCCTTGTTAATTCTAAGTGTTCTTTTTAGTTGCCAAGCAGGAGCAGAGTTTATCAATATTCTTTTATATAGATCAGAAAAAACTTCAAATATATTTTAGTTTATTTATTCAGATCAATATAGACCCAGAGAAAAGCGATACCCTAAAATAGTGCCCTATAATTTGCTGGCGCATCCAAATAACCCCCTCACTCTCTCATTGCTTCTTTGAAGGAGGCTGAAAAGCTGAACTGTTCCCTATTTGTGCACCCCTGGGACATGCAGATGGATGGACGGATGGCCAAATACTGGTTCCCTTGGCTCATAGGTTTGTATCAGCTTGGGATCTGGAAAAGAGAGTCAAGTCCTTAGTTTTTTCCAATTATCTATGGGACCCTATTATGTCAAAGAGAGAAAGTATGAATAACTAACAGGATTGTGAGTTATTGAGCTCTTACTCAGATAGTGCTATACGTATTACCTCATTTAATTTTTTTAATTGAAGTATAGTTGATTTACAATGTTTCAGGTATACAGCAAAGTGATTCAGTTAGATTACCTCATTTAATTTTAATCTTATCCACACAAAACTTTATGAGGTTGACACTGTAATAGCCATTTTTTTTTTTTTTTTTTTTTGGCTGGGCCACATGGCTTGCAGGTTATCTTAGCTCCCCAACCAGGGATCAAACCCGTGCCCCCTGAAGTGGAAACTCGCAGTCCTAACCACTGGACCGCCAGGGAATTCCCTGTAATAGCCATTTTATAGATGGAGAAACTGAATCTCAAAGTGGTTAAGTTGTGCAGGTCACATAGTTAAAAAGTGAAAATGGAATTTACATAGATCTGTCTGATTCCAATGCCACCACCTCACTACACAGACTCCCAAAAAGGCTCTGAAAAAAAGTAGCCATGCCTGTCTAACAGATTTTTTTTTTTTTTGGCGGTACGCAGGCCCCTCACTGTTGTGGCCTCTCCCGTTGCGAAGCACAGGCTCCAGACGCGCAGGCCCAGTGGCCACGGCTCACGGGCCCCGCTGCTCTGCGGCATGTGGGATCTTCCCGGACCAGGGCACGAACCCGCGTCCCCTGCATCGGCAGGCGGACTCCCAACCACTGCGCCACCAGGGAAGCCCCTAACAGATTTTTAGAAGCCAATGATAGCATCAGCCCTGACAAATGAGAACCCTGGAGTTACAAGTAGAAAGAAGGTCAGCTTCTACCGCCTAAGGATCTGAGACCCTAGATTGCAGATGACCAGACTTTCAAGTCCCCTGTTACCTGCTCTTTGCCACCTGCACTGTTCACCCATGGTTTCACCTGAGGGTAAGGGAAGGGCAAAGAGGAGAGACCTTTACTGGGCCTACCAAGCTCTGGATAGGAGCTGGTCCGGATTCTCTTTCTGCTCTGACATTTCATGCCCTTGTTATTGCTTTTGGAGACTGAATGTGTTTAGTAAGGCAGCTTCCTACCCATCCCCCACCAAATTCTTGAGCAACAATTAGTCGGAAGAGATAAACTAAGTAGCCCCTGTGCTCTCTGGCTTCTAAGAAAATCTCATCCTAATTCACACAACACTTTGACAAGTTCCACAAACTTATTTGCATTGCAACTTCCCCCATGAAAAACAAAGGAGAGCATTTACATAGAGGATCATTTCATCCCTCATTATGCAACACATATATTGATCCTTTCTAGCACACCGGGCACTGAAGATGTACCAGACATGGACAAAACCTCTGTCCCCCCTGAAGCCTGAGTTGACAAGTATACAGGTCATAAACAAACAGGCTAATTTCTGAATTTTATTCTGGATGCAAAGGCGGTCTTTAGGAGACTGGAGGATTCCCAGCGGGCGGAGGGCCATGATCCAATTTACGTTATAAATATTCCACTTTGGCTCCTATATGGACAATTGTGGGGTTTTTGTCCAGGTAGTTAATGGAAAGCAGAATCACAGGACCAAAGGGAAGGGATGCTCTCCATCCCCTGCCTGCAGGAAACTCTGCCCACAAACCACTCCCAGACAGATGTGAATCCATCATGCTTCCAGAATTCTCAAGAGGCCAAGGATCCAGGGAGCCAGGGGCATCTCTGTCCATGGAACAGTGACAGGCCTAAGGCAGGATGAACAACCAGTAAAGGCCCACTAGGCAGCCAGAGGATCAGGCTTCCCCAGAAGGCCCAGGGCTCAGTCACAGAGCCCCCAGAGATTTCTTAATCACAGTCTGAAAAGCAGTCATCTGGAAATATAGCCCAGATGGACTCCATGGAGGTGAAGGCATCAGGCATGGACCAGCTGCCTCTTCTAGAAGCACAAAGCACTTGAAATAATTCATTTTAATCCAGTTATTTTCAACCTCAGCTCCAAGAAGCAGTAAAGATTTGGCAGGAATATCAATATTAGTTAATATCTATTGAGCACTCACTAAGCGGCAAGAACTAACCATTCTTAACCCCGGTTTACAGATGAGGAAATTAAAGCAGGGAGGCAAATCATATTTGTCGAGCCCCTCCAATGTGAAGCTCTGGCCAAGAACTTTCCCAGCATCATCATTTGCAAGGTTCCACAACAGCCTTCCAAGACGGGCAGCACTGTCCCCATTTCACAGGTGAAGAAGCCCAGACTCGGGGGCATTAAATTACTTATCAAAGGCCAAGAAGCAAACAATCAGAGGAGAAAGGGTTCAGCCTAGACTCACTGTGCTCTGCTTGCCCCACTGCACACAAAATGGAAGCTGGGAGAATCGGGACAAAAGACAGGCCCTCTGGCTCCTTGACTCTTCTAGCCATTAGATGACTCTACTTGCAAGTGGCAAATAGGAAGTGTCACATGGTTTCTGCTTGCCAAAGTCATGGCCTGCATACAACCAAGCCATGCTAGGGCACAGGGACCCTGCGCTTCTCAGCAAGGTCCCATTCCCCTGCCATTAGCATCACTGGACTTCTTGCTCGTGATGACAAGCGCTATACGTCATGACTGTTTCTTCTTCCAGGAATGCCCGCAGAGACCACCACAGCCATTTGCTCCATGATCATGGGTGGAGTGTTCGAGAAGTTTCCTAAACTGAAAGTATGTTTTGCACATGGAGGTAAGACCCTATCTGTGTTAGTCAGCTTGGGCTGCCATAACAGAATATGACCGCAGACCGGGCAGCTTAAATAACAGAAATGTATTTTCTCACAGTTATGGAGTTCCCAGATCAAGATGCCAGCGCAGCTGGTTTTTAGTGCGGTCTCTCTTCCTGGATTACAGAAGGCCGCCTTCTTACTGTGTCCCCACACGGCCGTTTCTTTGTGTGTTCACAGGAAGAGAGAGAGTTCCTATGTCTCTTCCTCTTCTTATGAGGACACCAGTCCTGTCAGATGAGGGTCCCACCTTATGACCTCATTTAAGCTTCATTATCTCCTTAAAGGCCTTATCTACAAATACAGTCACATTGGGGGTCAGGGACACAATTTTGGAGGGACACAATTTAGCCCTGGTAGTTGTTCTAGTTATAAAGTGTATGATGGTTCAAGGACCAAATTCCATTTCTGCAGACAAGTTTAGTTTGGTTGGCATAGTTTACTTGATTTTGTTTTGTTTTTCATTTAAATCTCTCGTCAGACCACAAGCTACCACAAGCTCTCCAGTTTGCAATAGTCCCTACCATTCACTATTGTTTACAAACAGGCCTGTTTCATTCATTTCCATTTCCTGCTTGGTCCCTGTAGGTAAGTGAGTTTGTGACTTTTGAATACACACACACAAAATATCAAACTATACACACTGTTCTCTAATCCGCTTTTCCTTCTCACCAGCACGTGGAGACATCTTTCCATGTCAGTGAGTACAGAGCTTCATCATTTTTGATGGTTGTATACATGACAATGCATTTTATGGATATGCCGTCATTATTTAGATATTCCCCAACTGAAAGGCTCCCTCTGTATTTTTCTATTATAACCAAGCTACATCCGAAAACCTTGACCACACATCTTTATATACTTGTCTTCTCTCTTTAGGATAAATTCCTTAAATCTGAATTTCTAGATGAGTTAAACTTTATTCTTTTTTCTGGGTCATCTCTCACATTTGGAACCCAGTAGATCCTTTGTAAATACAGTTAACTAGCTGGGCTACAGTAACTTCTCTTTGCATACAACATGAGGGTTGAAAAGAATCCTTTTCAATTAACACTAGTCCCTCAGGAATGGGCTTTACTTGCAGGTGGTTCCTTCCCCTACACAGTAGGAAGAATCTCCCATGGATTCAGCATGCGTCCAGATCTGTGTGCCCAGGACAATCCAACCAACCCAAAGAAATACCTTGGCTCCTTTTACACGGACTCCTTGGTTCATGATCCTCTGGCCCTCAAGCTATTAACAGATGTCGTAGGAAAGGTAAGCCAGGGCTGCCAACTGGGTGACTTACGGGGAGCAGAGTGCAGGATCAGCAACCAGTTGCTTGGTCTCTCTTTGAAAAAGGGATGGGAGAAAAGGCATTAGAAGAAAAAAGAGGGACAGTGAGGTTCGGGATTAGGTCTGCTTGCACAGGGTATCCTATCCAGAACCTCCTTCAACATAGACCATGTATCAGCAGGGAGCCGTTATGGATGTACGCCAAGGAAATCCCAGATAAGCCACATGGCTGGGTAGCTCCCCAGATAAATTCTTCTTCCTCACGGTCGCCTCTGTAGTGACCGTAAGGAAGTGACACATCATGATGAGGTAAGCAGGAAAGAGCCACCAGTTTTGAGGTCAAATTCACCTGGGTTAAAATCCTGGCTCTACTTCTTACTGACTAGGTAAAGTGTGACTCTAACTGTCCTCATCCACTAAATGAAGAAAACTGGAACATTAAAGAGGGGGGGATGGCACTGGCCAGGGAGGCAGGGGAAGATGATGAGGGGTCTTGGGTACCACCTGAAATGTTTTGCTGGAATAACATGGCCTTTGTTTTGAAAACCATTCTCTCATTTGGCCCAAAAGACCAGCACGGTAGTGCTTTAAACCTCACAAGAAAAGGCCTTTCCTCTTCTGTGGTCTGCTGGCAGCTCTCCTGTTGGTGGCATCTCCACTTTTAAGTATTCTTTGGAAATGCTAACTGAGCAAGTTTAGACAGTGTTTAGAGCAAAGGTCAGTCTGAATTAGTAGTCTGAAATATTTAGTATTTCAATTCTGTTTGATTACTTACAGATAGCAATAGAAGGTTTCCAAATGTACCCAAAGAAAAAAACTCTTTGGGGTTTCTAAAAGAATATGGACATATGTGTTTAAAGATTGGCATATGGTGCTTGGATTGAGAGTAGATGCTAAGGCATTTAAAATCTTGTTTAGCAGAGAAAGCGGTCCATTATTTGAAAGCTGCAAGTTACCGTTCTATCTCCAGAATGAAGCTTCATCTCACTTTAAAGCTGACTGTTTCTCTGGCTTGAGAACCTCACTAGAATATAAATGTTGAACATTCTGGCTTGGGAATAAGTTATGTGGCTGAGCTATGTTTCTGAGCCTTCTGGCTTTTGTGTTGTCCCCGCTGAAATGGGTGCTTAGCAGCTGGTTGTGACTGTTGATTATCATTGGATTGGACAGAGGGGCTACGGGCAGGTGTGTAAGTAGGAAACTACAAAAAGGAGAAGCCGAAAGAGTCTGTAAACCCTGGATTTTGAGCAATGGAGGAGGGGGAGTAGGAAAGCGGCGTGGAAGTGGGGAAAGGGTCAGTCTAACTACCTCCCATCAAGCCTAGTACCCCTGGTGTTCCTGGCAATGGCGACATCAGGAAAAAACACCCTTGGCAAATATAACATCTATCTTACGAGCAATACCATCAGCAGTGAGGGAGACCATCAGCACCTTCAAACAGCATTCAGGGCAATACACATCGGCCAGGGGGTCACAGCAGAAGAGGAAAAACACGGCAAGTGCCTTGTGGTAACCAGTGTATAGACTAGTTAGTAACTTTTTCCCTTTTGTGGACCCCCAGAAAAACTCAGAGGGCACTTTGCAAAGTTGCAATATTGCAAAGGTGCTAAGATCTTGCATTCAAACTGTGAAGACTTGAGCCCCTATACCTTGGGCATCAAAAGCAAAAGTGACTTCATTTTATGTGACCTCACAGGCTGGTGAATCTAGGACATAGAAGCAGGATACATTAATAATTTAGGATTCTCTTTAAAATATTAATGCTTCCTCCTTGTAGTTATATTCACATTAGCAAAATCTTTCAAAAACAATCCCCAAACCAGAATGGCTAAGCAAAGTCCTAACATGACAGCTAGTCTAGAGAGCAACTGTCCCTATTTGAGCAAGAGGACAGAAGGCTGTGGAAGGAGGTCTCCAGGACAGATAACATGGAACGGATGGATTATGTGATGTGTTTGAATTTGAAACAATGATTGCCAGGCATTCATCGGATCTGTTAATACATTAGTACCAAACAAGCTGTACATATATAGAAAATTAAGCAAAATAAAGAAAAGGAAATAATTAACTCCAAGAAAACAAACATCCATATAAAGACAGATAATCATTGTATATTACCTGATTCAGCAGTGAAAACTATTTATATTTATGGTATAAATATTAAGCACTGGCTTAACTGAAAATTGTAATTCTACTGGGAAATTGGAGAAGTTGGGATAAGAAAGAAATTCTCCATGATCATAATGCGAAGTCAGTAAATACTCTCTAAAGCTAATAAATCGAGAAACAATAGTATAATCTTATTATCTGAAACTATGAGGGTGATTATCAGAAGATTCATGTTAAAAGGTAAAAGTGGCTGTCTTGGGATACAAAAATGGATAGGGCTGCTTTTGATAAGAAAGATATTAGTAATATTGGATTGTTTAACTATGTATAGGTATTATTTTGATAAATCAAAATTTTAGATAATACCTTCAGAATAAATAGATGTATGTCATACATACACCAAAACCATATATTGTGCACCTACTATTTCTAAAATTCCCTCTAAACAGAAGACGTGAATTACATAATCTCTTATTTTCCTCCCATCTCTAAAATTCTTTGCTTTTAATCCATATCTACTCTTTTTTTTTTTAAGCACTTTTTTTTTTTTTTTTTTGGTACGCAGGCCTCTCACTTTTTTGGCCTCTCCCGTTGCGGAGCACAGGCTCTGGACGCGCAGGCTCAGCAGCCATGGCTCACGGGCCCACCCGCTCCGTGGCATGTGGGATCCTCTGGACCGGGGCACGAACCCGTGTCCCCTGCATCGGCAGGCGTACTCTCAACCACTGCGCCACCAGGGAAGCCCTGTCTACTCATTTTTAAAGACAGAGTGCAAAGAATGCTATTTATGTGTTATCAGTCTATCACTGTGAAAAATATGAAAAAACTTATTGCCTCCCTACATTAACATGACCATAGACAATTCCCTTTACATATTTAGGTGGGTAGATTTTGAGAGGTCCATTTTCCTCCCATTATGATTATATCGCAATTTTGGCTAGATCCATTGTTAATCTATTGCTGTGTAACTAACTGCCCCAACTCAGTGGATTAGAACAACAATAAACACTTACTATCTCATATGGTCTCTGTGTCAGGAATTTAGGAACAGCTTAGCCATTTCAGGATTTCTCACAAATTTGCAGCAAGTTGTCAGTCAGGGCTGCAGTCACCTGAAGGCTTGACCAGGGCTGAAGGACTTATTTCCAAGGTGACTTTTATATATTACTGGCACACTGGTGCTGGGTTTTGGCAGAAAGCCTCAGTTCCTCCTCATCTGGGTCCCTCTACTCTCCAAAGAGCTGCTTGAGTGTCTTCACAACATGGCAGCTGGCTTTCCTAAAGAATAAGTGATCTGAAAGAGAGACGGAGGTGGCAGAGGAAAAGAGAACAAGAGAGACATGGAGTGTGCGCCAGGTAGAAGCTATCCTTTTATGACCTACCCTCAAAAGCCACGTCGCATCACTTCTGCCACATTTTATTCATCAGAAGCAAGTCACTAAATCTGGCCCACATTCAAGGGGAATGGAATTCAGCTCCACCTTTTTTTTTTTTTTTTTCTGGCTGTGTTGGGTCTTCGTTGCTGCGCATGGGTGTTCTCTAGTTGCAGATAGCGGGGCTACTCTTCGTTGCGGTGCGCAGGCTTCTCATTGTGGTGGCTTCTCTTGTTGCAGAGCATGGGATCTAGGCGCGTGGGCTTCAGTAGTTGTGGCATGTGGGCTCAGTAGTTGTGGCTCATGGGCTCTAGAGCGCAGGCTCAGTAGTTGTGGCGCATGGGCTCAGCAGTGTGACTCGTGGGCTCTAGAGCACAGGCTCAGTAGTTGTGGCACATGGGCTCAGTAGTTGAGGCACGCGGGCTCTAGAGTGCAGGCTCAGTAGTTGTGGCACGTGGGTTCAGTAGTTGTGGCACGTGGGCTCTAGGGCGCAGGCTCAGTAGTTGTGGCACATGGGTTCAGTAGTTGTGGCACGTGGGCTCTAGAGAGCAGGCTCAGTAGTTGTGGTGCATGGGCTCAGTAGTTGTGACACACGGGCTTAGTTGCTCCGTGGCATGTGGGATCTTCCCGCACCGGGGCTGGAACCCGTGACCCCCGCATTGGCAGGTGGATGCTTATCCACTGCACCCCCAGGGCAGCCCAGCTCCACCTGTTGAAGACATGTTTGTAAACCACCACACCCCACACTCCGGCCACCTAAATGCAAACTACCTTCAGTCCTCCCACACCACCCCAAAGTCTCATTCATTTACAGCATCAGCTTAAAGTCCAGGATCTCACCACTTAAAGTAACTCAGGGATGACGCTCCTCATGCACAGTTTCTCTCAACCTTAAGATCTGTGAACCACAGAGACAAGTTCTTTACCCAGCACACACTCATGCAACACTATAAAATGGTGAGACATGCAAAGGATAGTTGCTATAGACCCTCCACTCCAAAAGGGGAAAATCAGGAGGTTTAGAGGAGTTACTAGTAACTAGCAAATCTGAAATCCATTGGGCACATGTTAGCAGTTCCTTGATTAGAACTCAGAATACAGGAATGATTCTCCACAGCTCTTGGTTCTACCCTCTGAGTCATCCCTCCTTTTCCATGAAAGGGAGCCCATATTTGCAGCTGAGTAGTTTCTACAGACTGCTTCATGCCCCTACAACTTTTGAGGCCCAAAAGCTTCTTTTCATTTTGTTCTATCCATTCCTTTCAATCCTGCTGGTGTTTATGCTAATACAATTCTCTTAAAAACTTTGCAGATCATAACAGCACTGATGACTACGAATGTGGCGTTAGTGTACAGAACATTGTCAATGATTAAACGGTAACAAAGTTTAAGAAAAAACAAACAAAATACTTTGCAGGTCTTTTGTGAATCTTATTAGGTTTCAAACCATTAGGCAGAAGCCTTACCCAGAAATCTCTGAGAAAAGCCCTTTTCTGCAAA